GGTGCACCAAGTGGCCGGCATCCATCCAGCCAAGCTCTTCTCTGTTTCCCGGATGTTGGCAGTGAGTACATGGGCTTCTAGGAGGATGGAGGAAGGGACAAACTGGGTCTCCTAGTGAGGGTTTTGGTAGCTTTAGAAGAGCCATCCAGCATTAATCATGACACTCAGCCAGACAACGGTGCTCTGTGAGATGCAATGAAGGAAATCTTCCTAGGATGTGTCATTCTTTAGTTTTGAGACTTATAAAACCACTCCTTACTTTCCATAAGAAATTTCCACTATTTCAGGTTCCTATTTAATTTTCTCTGGAAAGTTGCAAATGCTATCCGTGCTATCTCCTGTTTTCTATGTTATTTAGTCCTATACTAATAACCAGAGAAGTAATAATTTTCGCTGTCTCCTTTTTATTAAGTATGCTCAGCTCTGCTTCTCTCATGTTCCTGAAAAAAATGAAATGCCCCTTGATATGTTACTTTCTAAATTTGGAGAAGTTAAAAAGTAATTTTTCATAAACCCAAAAGTAACAGGGGTGACCTTATATTACCACAACCATGTGTTGTAATTTCTCATGAAATCTTCCTTGCCCTACATTTAATCTCACAAACTAAAAATGAATGGTGCCTCTCCACATTGTGTGTTCTGCCCAGTAGCCAATTCCGAGTGAGAGGGCAGTGGTCCTCTGTCACCTTCATATGAAAAGACAAATGAACCTGATAGTGGTTTCTTTTTCCTTGCCCCCCAAAGATCTGGGAATATAATTTTCAATAGTTGAGCAGGAAGAACATATGGTCCATTCATCTGGTCTCTTTTTTATTATTCATTTTAAAATCCTCCTTCCCATTTCCCTCATAATGGTTGTGTCTGATAGGCATTTTGTTAGGGAGAATATTGGGAAAAGTTGATCCTCCTTCTGTTCAGGTGTCTGTGCTCACATTTATTTTTTAAGTTCATATTTTCATGCAAATACAGTTACAGAACAAATGTGAACCAATCCCCTTTTCTTCCTCTTTAAGCAAATTGGACTTGACTCATGTCATTATTGACTTCATCAGGGAAACAGATCCTCCTGCAGGTATGTTTGGGTTTCCCGGTAAGGACAGTTTAGTGTCTGTGATGAAGCTCCTTAGGAGTTTCTTGTTGCTGTTAGAAAAGTAACTTTCCTTATACTGAACCTGAAGACAGATTTCAAAATACTGTTATTGTGTAGTTGCTGCTGGGAACCTTGAGCTTTACTTAAATCTTTCCAATTTATGGGAACAATGGGTGATCATCAACCAGATTTTTCAGGAATAGCCATCACTCATTTATCCAAATATTCTACAGGCTTTTCTCCTTCATATTCCTGTAGCTTGCACATTTCACAGTTGGCTTTTCACCCAGCATAGCACCTGGATGGTAGTGGTTGTGTCCTCCCTGATGTGCAAGCTGTTTCTCCCTAGTGCTCTTCATAGTTTCCCAGCTATAACTGTGATGCAAAGTACAGCTGGCTGCCCAATTTCCCCTCAGTCCCAAACTCACATGAAGCAGGACCAGCTCCCCTCCCAGAGCTCAATTGTTCATCTTTAGTTAACATACAGTAGGTAATGGGAGCAGGGGGAGGTTTAAGTACATGGAAAAGACAAAACAAATTATGCTCATTTTCTGCTGTTATTATAATCATCATCATCATCATTATATTATTGTTGTTGTTGTTGTTGTTGTTGTTGTTATTATTATTATTATTATTATTATTATTATTATTATTATTATTTTGGTACCAAGGTTTGAACCCAGGGGTGCTTAACCACTGAGCCACATCCCTTGTCTTTTTAACATTTTATTTAGAGACAGGGTCTTGCTATGAGGCTTAGGTCCTCACTAAGTTGCTGAGGCTAGTCTCAATAATGCAATTCTCTTGCCTCAGACTCCCATGCTGTGGGGATTACAGATGTGCACCACCATGCCCAGCCCATGTTACTTTCCCTGTGATTTATGTCCCCCTCTGTGGACTGTCCAGTATTTCTTAGGATAGTTTGATTTCCCTTTTTTAAAAAAAAAAAAAAAAATTTTTTTTTTTTTTTTTTTTTTTTTTTTGCTGCGAACCGTATGTTTCCAAGTATCATCACCGAATTAAGAGCCTTGGTTGAGGAGGCCCCTTGAACACATTGCAGGGGATAGGAAGTTCTCATCTTGTCCCTGAGCCTCTAGATTCTTCTTGCTGAGTGGCAAGACTCATGGCTGGGAGAGGACATGCCTGGTGATTTATTTTAGCTTGTATTATGAAGGGCTCCTGATCACCAGAATGCTTTATAATATAAAGGAGATATTAACACAGACATAGCTGTATACTTACCTTTAGAACACTTACATATTTTATAATATTTAAGTGAATAAGGTATATGTGTCTGATGCATATGATAAACGAATACATCAGTATGTGATCTGAACTTTGGACAGAAGCTGGACACAGTCATGACCATAATCCTAAATTTTTTTTAAAAAATCGTCATTTTGCTGTTCACCACATTTCAGAAAAAAATAAACTTTTTTGTCCTAATTCTCTATAGAATTTCCTTTCAGCCAATTACTGCATTTCCTCACTCATGTAGGGATTGTAAACATGTTGCCCACATAGAAGTGCAGCTCAGCAGAATCTGAGAAGGAGCAGTCAGAGGAGGGGTGAGGGGCACCTGGGCACAGCTGCAGGGCTGGGGTCAGCAGTTCTCATGTCTATAGCTCAATGTGGTCACCAGAGTCTGCATCAGGTGATTACATGTGACGAAATAAGAGTTTTGAGACTCTGCACACTTAGAAATTATACAATGTGAGAAAATCAAAATGTTAATTCCCCCATGTGTTCAGCAAGCAATGTCAACATGTATCGACTTCTAATATGAGACTCCCTAAGTCCAGGTATTATGTCAGCTAAAGGTTAAAATTTTTTAAAAATTAGATCTGCATTTCAATGTTTAAATGAAACCTGTACATTAAACTCTGAATTCTCACATGATGCCCAATGTTCACTCATCTTTAACATGTCAAATTTCCTTAGCACTTTTGATTTTTCTACCAGGTATTGAACCCAGGGCTCTTCACCAATGAGGTACATTCCTAGCCCAATTTTAATTTATTATTTTGAGACAGGGTCTCACCAATTTGCTAGCTGGCCTTGAACTTGACATCCTCCTGTCTCTGCCTCCTGAGTAGCTGGGATCTCCTTAGTGCCATTTACATCCATAGGCTCATGAACTAATTTAGCTTTAAGACTTTGTTTTCCAGTTTTATTATGGTTCAGTATGTGAAAATACAAATTAAATCTCAATTATTAGTTATATGAGATGCTTGGATTCAAGTAAATATGTATATGTTTTCCAGGAAAACATTCTGCCAGTAAAGTCATTTCAAAATTCTCTAGAATCAGAGCTGGAGATGTAGTTCAGTAGTAGAAAATGTACCTGGTATGTGTGAGGCATCAATATAATAAACCCAAGTATCAATTTTACATGTGGACCTCTTTAGAAACATCATTGCATTCTTGAAGGAAGATGGAAAACTTGGACTCCAAAAAGACTCATGTTTCAAAGATAGGTTGGATACTTACACTGTAATAAATTCCTCTAGTGGAGTGAATGTGTATCTTTTTTCATTATGGTTCTGTTTATCACAATGATTCCACGTATTTAAGGTTTTGTTTTGTTGTTGTTTTCTTTTGCTTTGGTACTGGGGCTTGAACTCAGGAACACTGAAAAAGCAAGCCCCATCCCCAGCCCTATTTTGTGTTTTATTTATAGACATGGTCTCACTGAGTTGCTAAGTGCATCACAGTTGCTTAGGCTGGCACTGAGCTTGCAATCCTGTAACCTCAGCCTCCCAAATTGCTGGATTACAGGAGTGAACCACCATGCCTGGCTACCCATATTTAAGTAGTAAAATATTGAAATGTGTTTCTGCTAGAATTTGATACTGGACTTGGTTCACATAGGTCAAATTGTGATTTAATAACAAAAATAATTTACATAGGTAGCTGTGTAGGGGAATCAAATCGTCCTAAAATCCACTCAGTTTTCTCTGAACAGAGATTGCTAACAAAATATAATTCCAGTAATTTTTTAGCCTCTCTGAGTTGATGATAGAGATGATCAACTATTAGGAGCTTTCTATGAGTGAGGATCTGCAGAAGTCTAAAAAATTGAACAATTCCAAAGAGATCCTTCTGCACAGCAAGCCTTCCCTGTATGGAAAATGTGCTCCATCCTGTTTCATGCATGGTATCTGGGGTACAGATATGATGAGGTTTTGTTCAGCTTATAGATGAGACGAGTCCAGAGCCCAGGCTCATGGGCTTCTCAAAGTTGAATACTTATCCTTTAAGTGGAAGATTACATAGGTATATTCAAGCAGTCTGACTTCAGAGGTTGCAATACTTAGCATTTTCTCTGTGAATATATAAACAAAATTACATGTGTTCATGAACAAACCAGAATAAAGGTAACAGGAAGCTAACGTAAATATGCATGGCCTAAGACATTGAGACTCTTTGCTTAGGAGGGTTTTCTTCCTAATTAAATCCCCATAATTTCAATTGACCCAAAAGTACATAGTCCTTACTACAGGAAGGACACATACTCCACCCTTGCAGTCAGATATCATCAATAAAAATTCAAGGTTGTATCTGGGAAAGATTTTTTTTATAATATTGGAGCTTGTGAATAAGAAATATATGACAGATATGACAATTTTTAATGCTCAGGAAATCCTTTTGTACTTTGCATGAAAAGTAATCCAGCCATGATTGGAAAATGATGGGAAAAGAGAGAGGAAAGAATGGATTCCAGGGTGTGTCAGCAAAACTTCAGTTAGAGGGGAAAGAGGGCATTGGGATAGGCCAACAAATTTTGCTCCTGGCAACAGTGTTGGCTGAGATGGATGAAATTTAATATTTGTGATAATGAATTTTCTTACTTTTCTCCTAAGACATGTAATCCATGATTCCTTACCCCAAAAGATGAGAAAAAAACCACATGGTGCATGGTGTTATTAACCTAAGAAGCACCTTTTACTCTGAAGTGGGAATTGGGATCTTGGCCAACACCATCCTCTTTCTGTTCCACGTCATCAAGTTCCTGTGTGACAAGAGGCTCAAGAACACAGACTGTATCATCGGTCTCTTGGCCCTAACCCACCTCCTGATGCTCGTCACCATGGGGTTCATAGCTGCAGACACTTTTACATCTCAGGGGGGGCTTTGGGGTGATGTCACATGTAAATCTTTTGCCTACTTGTACAAGTTGATGAGGGGCCTGTCCATTTCTGCCACCTGCCTGCTGAGTGTCCTGCAGGCCCTCACCCTCAGCCCCAGAAGCTCCTGCTTGGCAAAGTTCAAGCCTAAGGCCCCACAGGACAGCATGAGGTCCCTTCTCTTCCTGTGGGTCTTCTATATGTCCTTCAGTGCCCACTTCTCCATCTCTGCTGTTGACAACACCACTGTGACCTCACAGGGCCTTATATTCCTCAGTGACTCCTGCACTATCTTGCCCATGAGCTACTTCCTCAGGCATTTGTTTGCTGTCCTGGGTGCATTACGGGATGTCTTCCTTATAGGGCTCATGGCCCTCTCCAGTGGGTACATGGTGACCCTCTTGCATAGGCATAAGAGGCAGTGCCAGCACCTTCACAGCACCAGCCTGTCTCCAAAAGCCTCCCCAGAACAGAGGGCCACCAGGGCCATCCTGGTGCTTCTGGGATTTTTTGTGCTCATGTACTGTTTGGACTGTGTCATCTCCTCCTCAAGAACCATGTGGAACAATGACCCTGTGTGCCGTTCTGTCCAGATCATGGTGTCCAATGGCTATGCCACCATCAGTCCTTTGGTTTTCATCTGCACGGCAAGACACAGCGTTACCTTTTTGAAATGTTTGTGGGGGAAGGACAGTCAACGTTGAATCATTGCATGATGGGTCAGTTCTCGACCTGAGCCACTGCACTGCTGTGCATCAACGCATCATGGCATAGTGAGTTTGCTCTCCGTGTTGGATGAATGCATAAAGTGGTTTTTTAAAAATGATTACACTGACCTTGAAAATGAGAAAAACATGACAGATTCTTGTTCATATGGCTCCAACAAAGCTAATAATTTTATATTTCTGATTGATGTGTGAAAGGAACCCTAGGAAGTAAATATCACTTTCTTTTTCTGAATGAGTCCATACATTTATAGGTATGTGAGAGATTGCAGTGGTTTTAATAAATCAAGAGTCTCAGAAATCTCCTTTATGCCTAATAGATTGTAAGCATCCCTTATCATGAACTGCCATCTCATCTATCAATTGAACTTTTATGAATATAACAAAAAAACTGGATATAGGGACAACAACTATTATTTAAACACCATTGCTCAAGATACCACATTTATAATAGTGATAGAGACAGTCTCATAATCCCAAGCATATGAATGTATGAAGATATGGTCTGGATATATCATGGAGTTCCACTCAACATTAAATAGGAGAAAGATTTTGGTGCATAGGAAGCCACAGACGAGTCTTGAATTTATTATGTCAAGAGGGTACATGGTGACCCTCTTGCATAGGCATCAGAATCAAAACTGTATACATATACACACAGGGGGTGGAATCTTCAGTAGAATAATATGCAAAGACCGAATATTGCATTAAATACTAAACATAGCATTAAATACGAAGGTGATGCTGATATATAAGAAACCACAGATAAATCTTGAAATCATTCGGTCAAGTGACTGTCACTCACAAAAGAATCAACATTGTATAAAATCTACCTGTAAAAGATGGAAGTTTGGGTCGTATAATTTATAAAGACAGAATGTAGTACTATGGAGTTTTTCTGCAGCTGAGGAAGGGTGTGCCCTGGGGAATTTTTATTTAATGAATCCAGAGATATTTTAGGAATAAGAAAAACTGGGAAGACGGTAGAGAGAATCCATGCACCCACATTTGAATTTGCTTAAGGCCACTGACCAGTATTCTTAATCACGGATAATTGATAAATATCATCTTTTGTGTACTTAAATAATAATAAAATGTTTCAATTGCCTTATAATCAAGGGTGAGGAAAACTGTCTCTGAAATTCCAAAGAAAAGTGCAAGTAGCCCAGGGTGGTGGTGCCCACCTGGAATTCCCAACAGCTCGGAATCTCAGGCATCACAACGGGTGGAATGGGCTAAATTAAACTTTGGATCAAAGTGACAGAATGTGACATGGTCCATATGATTGGGACACACATTATTTTTCCCAAGTTCCTGCTTGGAAAAGTTCAAGCCTAAGGCCCCACAGGACAACCTGAGGTCCCTTCTCTTCCTGTGGGTCCTCTATATGTCCTTCAGTGCCCACTTCTCCATCTCTGCTGTTGACAACTCCACTGTGACCTCACACACACTCTTACATTCCTCAGTGACTCCTGCACTATATTACCCATGAGCTACTTCTTCCGGCATTTGTTTTCCATACTGGGTGCTTTATGGGATGTCTTCCTTATAGGGCTCATGGCCCTCTCCAGTGGGTACATGGTGACCCTCTTGCATAGGCATAAGAGGCAGTGCCAGCACCTTCACGGCACCAGCCTGTCTCCAAAAGCCTCCCCAGAACAGAGGGCCACTAGGACCATCCTGCTGCTCCTGGGTTTCTTTGTGCTCATGTACTGTTTGGACTGTGTCATCTCCTCCTCAAGAACCATGTGGAACAATGACCCTGTGTGTCATTCTATCCAGATGATGGTGGCCAATGGCTATGCCACAAGTAGCCCTTTGGTTTTCATCTGTACTGAAAAACACAGCCTTAACTTTTTGAAATTCTTATGTGGTAAGGATAGTAAATGTTGGATCATTGCCTGATGGATAAATTTTCATAATGAGCCACCACACGGCTGGGCAACCATTCATCATGGCATAGTGTAGTCTGCTTTCTGTGTTGAATGAATAGATAAATGGGGGCTTTTATGTGATTACTTTAAAATTTGTGAATTAGAAATACATGCTAGATATTTTTTCATATACCTCTGAGATAAACTAAAGTCATTATATTTTTAGGCAGTGGGGGAGTTACTGAGGATTGAATCAGGAACACTCAAACCCTGAGCCACATCCTCAGCCTGATCTTGTGTTTTATTTAGAGACAGGGTTTCACTGAGTTGCCTAAACACATGATCTTCATGATTCCGTTTCCCGAGCTGCTGGAATTACAGGAGAATTTCACTGTGCCTGGAAGTACATTGTATTTCTGACTGAAAATGTGAGAGTGACCCCCAAGAGGTAAATCTCAATTTTATTATCTACATTAGTCTCTATATTTATAAATATATGAGATTGGAGTAGCTTTTAATAAGTAAACAGTCTCTGTAGTCTCTCTTATGCCTAATAACGTGTAAAGATTTCTCATCATAAATTGCCATCTGATTTATCAATTGTGCTTTTACAAATATAACAAATAATATTGGCAAGGACTCAAAACTGTCACTTGAACACCTTTGTTCATGGAACCATTATCTATAATAAGCAATTTTGCAAACAATCTGATATCCACATGCATCTGAATATATAAACATGTGGTCTGGATATACCATGTAAGAAATTTGAAGACATTATGTCCAATGAAGTGTCACTCTAAAAAGAATCATCATTGGGCTGGGTATGTGGCTTAAGCGGTAATGCACTCACTCGCCTGGCATGCACGGGGTGCTGGGTTTGATCCTCAGCACCACATAAAATAAAATAAAGAAGTTGTGTCCACTGAAAACTGAAAAATAAATATTTTAAAAATTCTCTCTCTCTCTCTCTTCTCTCTCTCTCTCTTTAAAAAATTAAAGAATCATCATTGTATAAATCCACACATAGAAGGTGGAACTTTGGGTAATGGAATCTATAGAGACAGAATATAGAATAATATTTTCCAGTAGCTGAGGAGGGGGTTCAGTAGGGGAATTGTTATTTGATGAATATAGAGATCATTTAGGGAGAAGAAAAATTCTGGACATGCTGGAGATTATACATTCACACAAAACTGAATGTGCTTAATGCTGCTGACTGTACTCTTAAACATTGGTAAATGGGAAATTTGATCTTTGTGTATTTACTCATCATAGAACATTTCAATCACGTTAAGCCAATTGTGAGAAAAACATCCTCTGAATTTACAAAGAAAAGTGAAATGACGCTCAAAGTGTCAAAATATTTTTTTCCAATAATTTGAAAACATTTCAGCAAAACTGCGGCAAACAACCTGGTTGTGGTGGTGCAGGCCTGTAATCCCACTGGCTAGGGAGGCTGATGTAGGAGGATTGTGGGATCAGAATCCAGCTCAGCAACTCAGTGAGGCCCTCAGCAAATTAGTAAGATGGTGTCTCTAAGTAAAATATAAAAATGGCTGGGGATGTGGCTCAATGGTTAAGAATCTTGAGTTCAATGGCTGATACCAAAAATAAAACATATAATAAAAACCTATTCCAAACAGTCATTTGAAGAAGATCCCCTGAAGTCCCCCATCATGCCCACTTTTGTATGAAGAAGTAATTGAAGTTCTGGTGTGAGTTCAGTCTGAGCACCTCAGTCTTTACATCCATCTCAGTGTTGTCTTAAGTGGTTCCTGTAGGATAACTATCTGAATGAAGTGTTTTAAATTAGGACAAAATACCAGATTTAAGCAGCATCTGGAAAATTACTAACCTTGATAACAGTTCATACCATAAAAATATAAACCCATAAAATTATTTTAAATCAAGAAAAAGAGTGAATAAAAATGTCAAATTCTTTTTTATTTAACCAGGAATACTAGGTTTATTTAAGATATTGCAATGCTATTTTCAAATAGCCTGTATCGTTTTATCAGATGCCAAATGATACAGGCTATTTGAAAATAGCATTGCAATATATTATCCTTCACAGAGAGTCACACAAATGATCCAACAATCACAATCTGTGTTTTACCCGCCAAATGTGTATGTAAGCATTCATAGCAGTTTTATACTTGATCACTATAAATTGAAAAAAAAATAAATTGGAAGTAATAAAGTTGTACTTGAAAAAAGAAATGGTTATGAAAATATTGTACTTCCAAAGGAGCCACTTCCAAGTGACTCTGTTGGTTAAGTCAATAAGAGAAATGAAGTTCAATTGCTTTTGAATAAGTGAAACAAGCGTCACTTCACCCAGCCTCACCTGCCTGTGAATACCTCCACCCCCACTCCAGCTTCACCTGCACTCTTAGTATTTACTTCAACACATTTCAATCCCAATTTAATTTGCACTCACGCCTTGAACCCAGATCCTTGGACTTTGAAAAATGGAGAGCAGAGCCAACACTCCCCAGGAACCAGGTCCTCCCAGTAACAAGGGGCTGAGGGAGAAGATGTCCATCATCCATGGTAGCTGAGACACCCAACCAAGGGCAACTCACATGGGGATCCAGGAAGATCTCAGACCAGAAAGTGCCCTGAAAAAATGTGAGGTGATTTTAGACAAATTTGGCCCATATCACAATGTAAGAAGTTGATACTTTCTAAATGTTTGGGATGACTGTGACCCCCCCCCCAATACACATGTCAATTTACTTAAGAGAAAAGTTGGGAGCCCAGTTCTCCCTAGAGAGCTGTTATCCACCTGAGCACAAAGTCAAATAGAAGGGCAGGTAAAGTGTCCCACTGGAGACCTGATGGTTTGACGCTCTCCAGTGAGACACTGTCACCTTCTTACAGACACAAAAATTAAGGCCCTGCAGAGAGATGGGTTAAAGGTCTCCCTTCCCTAAACCAGCCCAGTTTCTTCTCAGGTGAACTGAGTCTTCCCACCACCTCCATCTGGGTAAGTGGCTCTGGATCCTCAGATGCAGAAACAGTGGTCAGGGGGTCCTAGGAAGGCTGTGGGAGAAGGAGGATTGGGCTTCTTAGTGAGGTTGTTGGTATCTGCAAAAGAGA